CTGTAGTCTGTGCCTCTGACTGGGCTGGGGATGAGGTGCACAGCACACAACAGCCTGCTTCCAGCGCACAGGTGGAACTGGGGATCCAGAGTCAATAGGGCACAGCGGTGACTCAGGCCCTGAGCTGAGGCCACGTGGTAGTCACTAGACCCTGGAGTGATGGTACACTGGCAATGCCCCAGAAAGCACAGAGCTGTGGCTGGAAGCTCAGGGCCCAGGGAGCAGGACAATGTTTCCTCCACCATGCAGCACAACAGGCAGCTTCAACAGTTCACATTTCAGGGGTTCAGTTCCAAGGGAGCACAGCGCTGCAGCTGCTTGGTCTGGAGGGCAGGTAGTGACAGGTCACTCTTTCCTTAACTGAGCTTCACCATCAGCTCAACCCCAGGTGATGCAGATGCTTGGCTCAGCCAGACACTGGGTCCCTGCGAGGCCGGGCACCAAGTCAGCTCAGGTGCTGGATGGGGTGCATAGTGCTGACTTCTCTGGAGTAGCTCAGCAGGGGGACCCCACTTATGGCCTAGTGCCTGTAAGGACTGCAGGGGTCCTCTGTGGTGAGGACTTCATTTGACCCGGATGGTGAAGGTGTGAGCATATCCCTCCTGACTACCATCCCTGTGGGAAGGAGTGTGTCTAAGCTATCTTGACTAGAGTTCTAGGCAGCGATGCTGGGGCCAGGTGAGCCCTTCCTCCCGCTATGTGTTTGCCCTGAATGTTTACACTCTGGCACCATCATTTAGCTGTTTTTTTTTTTAAATCAAAATATAGTTGTTTATTTGTGGCCTTGACTTCATTCAGGGTATAGTAGGGACATCTAGTCAGCCACTTTGCTGGTGCCAGTTGTCATTAGCCTTTATTGAATACTGTCATAACGAGGTTTTACGTGTCTATTTGCCTGGTTGAATCATGGGTTCCTTAAGTATAGCCAGTCTCGCTTACCTGAGTCAGTCAGGGCTCCACAAATGCTCCTTAAATGAGCAGCCACACTCCTAATGAGATGATTAGCTCACTGGACACGAAGAGCCAAGCAGTCCCTTAGCGAGCTCAGATCGCCTCTGCACGGAGCAGGAAGCAGTTTGTGCTGTGACGATGGCTGGGGCCTGGTGCTCCAGCGATTTCTAAAGCTAAGGACTTTCTCTTTGTCCATTTCCATGGAACATCTAGACAGATACAGGGCAATCCAGACTGCTGTCTATCAAATACAGATTATAGAATATTATGGAACCCAAGGCACAGTCGGTGCTGATGGTTCTAAGTAATGATGCTACCATGTGTCGTTCCTCTACAGTAGGGACAGACACATTCTTCTACAAAGTCGAGGTAAATACTTGTGAGCTTTGTATAGCACCCATGAACAACTAGATGGTAACACTCTGTTTATGAGAACAGGAAGTGAACCCAGTTTGCCCTGCTTGGCCCTGGTTTGTTTGCACCTGTTCTAAAGCGGTATGTGTTCTTGAAGAATTACTGACCAGGCGTGGAGGCACGTGTCTTTAATTCAGACATCAGGAGGCAGAGGCAAGTAGATCTCTGCGAGTTTGAAGACCGTCAAAGGTTCACAGTGAGACTCCAGCTCAAAAAAACTTATTCATAATTAAATATGTTCTTTGGCTTGGGGTTGTATTTCAATGATTGCCACATGTTCAGGGTGATGGGTTCCATCCCCAGCAGTGGAAAACATTAATGTGTTAATTATTCCTCTCTCTTCCTACCCTTTTATCTAATAAAAGGATTATCTTCTTTTGAAAACAAGACTGTTTTTCTTAGTCGTTTTAAAAGATATGCATGGCCAGGACAGGCTGGAGCTGGAACCTGTGTTCATAAAAGATAACTTCGTGGAAAGGTGATCCAGTCCCTTTTCAGGTGTGTTCAGCTCTGCCTCCTCACCGGCTCTTCCTGCTGCTAGCCAATCAGTCCTCCAGGGTGCTGGGACCCCATAGCGTTGCTCCGTCCAGGTAGCCTGACAGTGGGGCCATGGCAGCAAGCTTCTCCATGCTTCTCTTCTTGTCACTCCAGTCTTGACCTAGTGGTGACTGTCATCCTGAATGCTCTTCAGAGCCTCCTGAGTCCCTTCTAGAATGCTCCGCCTAGCCTGTAGCTGGCAATGGTTGGTACCTACCCCTTCTTCACCCGCCTTCTTAGCTGTCTTTGTTTCAAGTCAAGGCATCACCTTGAAGCTGAACAGACCACAGTTTCGTAGCTGCCTGCTGCACTCCCCCGTGATTAGAGACCTGTGCCAGTCTGGCTAGCAGTTCTGCTGACTTTCTTTCCACAAGCTTGCAAAGATATCGATTGCCAAGCAATGCACACGTCATGGCTTCCTCCAGCCATATGGACTCTTTTTTAAAAAGCCACAGATATTTATCTGCAGCTGTATCCCACATGTGGATGATGTGGAGCACGAGACAGCAGTGGTGGAATGCTGTATCATGCTGTTTGACTTGGGATCTTTCCCTGACAGAGAGTCTATGGAGAGCCGGGAATCTGTGCCTTTGGCCGTGTGCATTGATTAGCAAGACTTCCCACAAGGAAGTTCATAGTTTAGTCATCTGGGAGGACATTTGTAGATTCCATAGTTGCACATTGCCTACTTGATAAAATTTCTTTGCAATCTCCAAGACAATATTCCTGGTGTTTTTTGTGGTGACTTAAGAGCAATGCACAGGTGAGGGAAATTTTTGAGACCCTAATGCATGTGTTCCCCCCCTGAGATGTCACAGGGTGAATGCTGCCTTTTGTGCTTTTGAATCTTTTATGCTTTCTGTCCATGATTTCACTTTCATCTAAAAGACTTATGTATTTATTATACATACAACACTTTGCCTCTATGTATGCCTGCATGCCAGAGGAGGGCACCAGATCTCATTATAGATGGTTGTGAGCCACCATGTGGTTGCTGGGAATTGAACTCAGAACCTCTGAAAGAGCAGTCAGTGCCCTTAACCACTGAGCCATCTCTCCAGCTAGATTTCACTGTTTCAAATGATTCCCTAGCTTGTCACTGGAGTGCTTTCTGATAGAACGGAGCACAAAGACGTTGCACGGTGCCTCGTGGAGAAAATAGGGGATTTAGAGAAGCTTCATTCAGGTATGAGTTAATGTGCTTTTGGCTGCAAGTCCAACGTCAATGCATCAATAGTATGATGCAGCCAGAGAGAAGGAAGAACGTGCTCACTGTAAGTGAAGCCTCTGCCGAGATGGTGCAGGGCACATCTACAGGTCCTGATGAAGCTATGAAAAGGCAAACAGGCTGAATCTGTAGACTCCTCAGCTGCTGAACAGTTAAAGAGGAGAACAGTGGCAGTGTTCTGGGAGACTGACAATCAGACATCTGCTGTCATATCTCTCAGGGCCGGGGAATTATTGAACACTCCTGGTAGTATTTCATCATAAAGACATATTGTATAAACATCATTATTTATTAGAAATCAGATATTAAATAAGGTGCTTTTCAATAGAAACTTTGCTTAAAACAAGGTAACCTATTGACAGTTGACCACACTGCCATTCCCATGGAGGTTCCCAGGAATACAAACTTTGTATTTTCATCTGCCAGCCATTACTCAGTGTCCCGGAATTCACAGTTCATGGTACTTTATAGTGTGTCACTGCCATGAATTATCAGAGCTGACTGCATATGATCACAGCTTAGTCCAAATGGAATCCATCTTCCCCTTCCTGGCACACCATCTCGGCTAAGTGTCCGTTAGGACTGGGCCTCAACCTCCCTCCTGCGACATTCCTGCATGGTATCCTTTGAAGGGAGTTAAATGTGGTCAGATACCTCCTACCCCCTCCTTTCACAGCTCCTATCCCTGTTCACTTTTCCCTGTTTTATTTATAAATTGTCTGGAGCTGGAACGTGACAGCCCTTCATTCCCAAATGAACAACTTAATTGGTCCCAGGTATGAAAAGAAACAATTGTGCCACCATCTCTCTTCCTGAAGCCAGACATAAGTCCTATGGAAAAAAAAATAAAATAAAACATTTTGTGCTGACAGTGAACAGTCTGCTGAGCTGTTCCTCTCTAGGGGATTTTGCAGGGACATGGTCTTGAGGAGGACCCCGCCCATCTGAATAGGAAACACAACACAGGAAACCCAGAGATCGCCCCGGCCTTCCAAAAGGGATGCTCCAGGGATGAAATGGCATTTCACCTAGTCAGAGTTCGTGCATGGGGAGGATTCAGGGAGCAGGGCAGGATCTCGCTGGAGTAAGTACAGGAAGGGAAAAACACAAGCCATTCCTTTGGGTCAATTCTTAAAGAGCCTAGAAAGCCTCTGAAATGCCCTGGGCCTTGTTATCACTAACCAAGATAGTGGTTCCACATAGCAACTGCCAAGTTCCCAGAGGAAACCTTTCTAGAAAGTTCTGCTGTTGCTAAGTGACTATTTGGGCTGTGTCTGCATTTCTCTACTTATCGCGAATACCGATGTCTTTTCCTTCAGTGATCCTGGGTACAAATAGCAGAGTTGGGAGGCAATGGCTGTAGCTTGCCATTGTGCTGTAAAGGGGGATTTTTGTACATAACACTTGGGACCTCAGTGCAAGTTCATAGCATCATTTTCTATTATAGGGATTGCCAGTGTGCAGAAACTTGCTACAAAGGCCTATGTGTGCAGATAGCATGCCAGATCACTGGTCACAAAGCCATTTTCTCCTGATCCCCTCTCCTTGTTCCTATTCCCAGGCCTCATTATGTGCGCTGTCAGATGCACACAAACAGACACACTAGAACAGCCCATCATGGCCAGGACAGAAGTGCCAAGGGAGGTGTTTGCATGAATCCCATCCTTGGAGTTAGAAGCACTTGCTCAGCTGCCAACTACAAATAGCCCCATGCTGCAAAGCAATGCTAATTAGTATGCCATTAAAAAAAAAAAAAGGAAGAAAACCACCACCCACAACCAAATAGCCACGCGCAAACCTGAAGTCCTGCCCTGACAGCCAGCATGAGGCATGGCCCTCTAATGCAGCCTTAATCCACTTTGCTTGGCAGGGAGAGCAAGCTCACCATGCTCCTGAGGGAGTCTCTGGGGAACGTGAACTGTCGCACCACCATGATCGCACACATCTCGGCCGCAGCCGGCAGCTACACAGAGACCCTGTCCACCATCCAGATTGCATCAAGGGTCTTGAGGATGAAGAAGAAGAAGACTAAGGTAAGGGACTCTTCCGTGGGAGGGAGAATACGTTGGGGATAAGAAGAGAATCACGAAAGCCTATCGGCATCACCATTCTCTGAGCACCAGGGACTGTGCAAGTGTAGCAGCTGCAGCCAGTATCTCAGAAGAGAAAAGCCTTCTGACCAACACAGGAGAAAGTTGAGTCTCCTTTTTATAGTTGACGCTTGCCTGGGTTATTCGCCCTGACGCCTGATAAGGACTATTTTAATAGATTGCCACTGCAGGAGGAAAACTGAGGGATGGGAAGGAACCTACATGGGTGAGGGCTGCATTCAGTGGGCTGGTTCCGCAGAGGATGGTTAATGCCCATCCATATGGTTCTGCCCCCCATGAATGTCAGGAGCCTTCCTGCTGTGAGTTCTCACATTAATCTGCTGGATTCTGCATTGTGCTGAGTTGATAGACGTTGGTAGGTTCGCTTCCTTTGGCAGAAGCAAAGCCAGGACAGCTTGAAAGAAAACATTTCTGGGCCAACTAGTGATGCTTGGGACTTTCTCCTTCCTTCTTTGTGTATTCTTTTCAAGTATATACAAGGCAAGTGAGTCTTCATGGTCAGTGGTCTGAGGCAGGGGAATAACCTTGAGGAAGTCAAGTGGTGCTGGATAGGTCACCACCTTTCCCGAGCAAGCTAATTCACTGGTGTGCACATGGGAACACATGCCCATGGGATGGGACTGGGAGGTGTCCTGGCACAGCCCAGTGAATACTGGCCCCTCCAAGGGCGGATCTTCAAGAGCCTAGGGCCAGTTAGCAGCTTGCACCTGCCATATGACACAGGCTCCCTAGGAGGGAGGGCTGTCTTGAGAGAACTCCCCATTAATGATTCTCTTGCCCACACTGCAGTATACATCGAGTTCCTCGGGGGGAGAAAGCTCCTGTGAGGAGGGCAGAATGCGCAGGCCTACCCAGCTGAGACCCTTCCATGCCCGGGCTTCGGTGGATCCCGAATTCCCCCTCGCCCCGCTGTCCAGTGACCCTGACTACTCCTCCAGCAGCGAGCAGTCCTGCGACACCGTCATCTACATCGGGCCCAATGGCACGGCCCTGTCTGACAAGGAGCTTACTGACAACGAGGGCCCCCCAGACTTTGTGCCCATCGTGCCGGCCCTACAGAAGACTAGGGGTGACAGCCGCCCTGTGGAGGCAACAGAAGCTGCAGCCAACAAGTCGGAAAGAGACTGTCTGAAGTGCAATACCTTTGCCGAGCTGCAAGAAAGACTAGATTGCATTGACGGCAGCGAAGAACCCAACAAGTTTCCTTTCGAAGAGCTGCCCATCCGGTTCGGGCCAGAGCAGGCAGGTAGATGTGTTTCCTTAAGCCAAGCGGCAGGGCCAGATACACTCTCTGAGTCTGATAAAGAAGATAACGGGTCAGACAATGGCCAGCTGACCACCGACAGAGAAAGCACGGAGCTTCCAGCCTCCAAGGTGCAGCAGAGACGGTCCCCTGTGCCTACTGTGACACGGAGCAGCAGCCCTAGTCCTGCCTCACCTCGGAGCATCCCGGGCAGCAGTAGCCAGCACAGCACCTCCCAGCTCACACAGAGTCCCAGTCTCCAGAGCAGCCGGGAGAGTCTGAACTCATGTGGCTTTGTGGAGGGCAAGCCCAGACCCCTGGGCTCCCCACGGCTAGGCGTTGCCAGCCTGTCCAAGACCTCAGAGTACAAACCCCCCAGCTCTCCCTCCCAGAGATGCAAAGTCTACACCCAGAAGGGGGTCCTGCCTTCCTCTGCCCCACCACCTTCCCTGAGCAAGGACTCTGGCATGGCCTCCAGCGAGTCCTTGCTTCAGCCTGACGTCCGTACTCCCCCGGTTGGAATGAGTCCCCAGGTTTTGAAGAAGTCCATGTCTGCTGGGAGTGAAGGGTTTTCGGGAACCCTGGTTGAAGATGGGCACCAGGAAGGTCCTCCTGCAGACTCCAAGAAGGAGATTCTGAGCACCACGATGGTGACCGTGCAGCAGCCACTGGAACTGAATGGGGAGGATGAGCTGGTGTTTACACTGGTGGAGGAGCTGACTATCAGTGGGGTGCTTGACAGTGGCCGCCCCACCAGCATCATCAGCTTCAACAGCGACTGCTCCGTTCAGGCCCTGGCCTCAGGCTCCCGGCCCGTCAGCATCATCAGCAGCATCAGTGAAGACCTGGAATGTTACTCCAGCATGGCCCCCGTCTCGGAGGTGAGCATCACGCAGTTCCTGCCGCTCCCCAAGCTGGGCCTGGATGAGAAGACGCGGGAAGCAGGCAGCCGGCGTTCTTCCATCAGTTCCTGGCTAAGTGAGATGAGCACGGGCAGTGATGGGGAGCAGTCTTGCCACAGCTTCATAGCGCAGACGTGCTTCGGGCATGGGGAAGCCATGGCAGAACCCCCAGCTGCAGAGTTCGTCAACACCATCCAGAACACTGCTGTGGTATGCAGAGAGAAGCCAGAGGTGGGCCCTGACAATCTACTCATCTTGTCTGAGACGGGAGAAGAATCTGTCAACAAAGCCACTCCCGTCAAAGGCTGCAAAATCTCCACCCTAGGCAAGGCCATGGTCACCATCTCCAACACGGCCAACCTGAGTAGCTGTGAAGGCTACATCCCCATGAAGACCAACATCACGGTCTACCCCTGCATTGCCATGAGCCCCCGAAATGTGCAAGAGTCCGAGTCCTCCACTGCCACCCCAAAGGAAGCCCCCAAAACAGCCCAGTCCCAGGAAAGCAAGGAAGCCAATGCAAGGAGAGAGATGAAGTTTGAAGATCCCTGGCTAAAACGAGAAGAAGAGGTGAAAAAGGAGAGCGCTTACCCCGGTGAGGAAGGGGTGAGGGGCGAGGCAGTCACAAGCTCCCTGACGACTGAAGGTAAGTCAGAACAGGAGCCGAATGGCAGGCCCAGCTCTGGTGACAGGCTCAGCAGCAGCAGCGGAGAGGCGTCTACCTTGCAGGTGACTGACAACATCAGGAGAGTTGTGGATGGCTGTGAGATGGCCCTGCCTGGCCTGGGGGCCCAAAGTCCCATACATTCCAACAAAAACCTCAAGTCAAGCAGCCTCCCAAGGGCATTTCAGAAAGCTGACAGGCATGAGGCATTGGACAGCTTCTACCATTGCCTGGCAGACAGCAATGGCTTCAGCGGGGCTCTGGGTATCCAGTCCTCTAAGACAACACTGGAGAGGAAGGCGGCATCACCCAAGCATTGTGTCTTGGCACGGCCCAAAGGGACACCGCCTCTGCCTCCTGTCCGCAAATCTAGCTTGGATCAGAAGAACAGGGCCAGCCCTCAACACAGTGGCAGCAGCACCGGCAGCCCACTGAACCAGCCCGCTACCTTCTTGGCTTGCTTCCCTGATGAGTCCAACAGCAAGACCAAGGATGCCAGTAGCAGCAGTAAGCTCTTCAGCGCCAAGCTGGAGCAGCTGGCCAGCAGAACCAATTCTCTTGGCAGGACAACAGTCAGCCACTATGAATGCTTGTCCCTGGAAAGGGCGGAAAGTCTGTCATCCGTCAGCTCCCGCATGCACGCCAGCAAAGATAGCACCATGCCTCGCACTGGCAGGAGCCTGGGTCGCAGCATAGGGGCCTCACCACCCAGCTGTGGCATCACCCAGTCTGCAGGGGCCTCTCCCAAGGCCAGCCAGTCTAAGATCTCGGCAGTGAGCAAGCTCCTGCTGGCCAGTCCCAAATCTCGCAGCCTGTCCACCTCGACCACCAAAACCCTCAGCTTCTCTACCAAGTCCCTGCCACAGTCTGTGGGCCAGAGCTCCAACCTGCCACCCAGCGGGAAGCACATGTCCTGGTCCACGCAGTCGCTCAGCAGAAGCCGGGGCTCTGGGCTGGCTTCTAAACTGCCCCTGAGAGCCGTCAATGGGCGCATTTCAGAGCTGCTGCAGGGCAGTGCGGGCCCCAGGGGTGCACAGCTGCGGGCAGAGGCAGAGGAGCGCAGTGGAGCTCCCACAGAGGACAAGCCTGCAGCCGCCCACCTTCTGCCCTCACCCTACAGCAAGATCACCCCTCCTCGGAAGCCTCACCGCTGCAGCAGCGGGCATGGTAGTGACAACAGCAGCGTCCTGAGCGGGGAGCTGCCGCCTGCCATGGGGAAGACGGCCTTGTTCTACCACAGCGGCGGCAGCAGTGGCTATGAGAGTATGATGCGGGACAGCGAGGCCACCGGCAGCGCATCCTCGGCCCAGGACTCCATGAGTGAGAACAGCAGCTCCGTGGGAGGGAGGTGCAGGAGCCTCAAGACCCCAAAGAAGCGGTCCAATTCAGGTAGGCACCAGGCATGGGCTAGGACAGAGGCACCAGGCCTCTGGGATGGAAGTAAGGTTCATCTCCTTGCTTTTGACCAGCCATGGGAGTGTGTCCAGATACTGGAACTGGAGTCTTGGGCTCCCTTTCCTCAGTGTCCTGCCACCTGGGTCCTTGACTGAGGACACAATCCCCAGAGACTTTCCTGAAGGTCTGGGTACTGGGGGATGCTAGCTGTGGGGGGGTCTGAGTACTGGGGCATGCTATCTGTGGGGTCTGAGTACTGGGGGATGATAGCTGTGGGGGGTCTGGGTACTGGGGGATGCTATCTGTGGGGGTTCTGGGTACTGGAGGATGCTAGCTGTGGGGGTGCCGGGAGGGAGCTCATTCTTGCTCGTTCTGTTTTGCGTCACTTCTGCCTTCACGTGCACGTGTTTCTACTCAAAGGCTGAGACGACTCTTGTCTAGAACCTTCTGAGGGGTCAGAGCCCCTGCCCTTCTGACTATAGAAGCCCGTATGTGAGGCTGGTGGCCTCCAAGACCCTGCAGATCCCCCTCCTGGAGATATGGGGCACTGTCATTTCATTGAAAGTGGGGTGGGAGAGGGCTAGTCTCGACTTGCACCCGAAACACACTTGTGGCATTGGTAGACACAGAACAACCACAGGTTTCCTGCAGTGCCCCTCCCTAAGTGATAGGCAGTAGGTGTCCATGCTGTCCTGCCCACCTGCTTGTAGGGCGACTCTCTGCCGTGTCCAGAGTATGCCATCAGAAAGTACCTCACATCTGAGCCACTGATAGGTTCCTTGGAGCTTGGGTGGACATGTGACAGCAAGTTATGTTGGACAAAAAAAAAAAAAAAAAAAGACCAAGGTCAGAGCTGGTGGCCCAGGTGCCATGGAGTTCATGAACTCAGGGGACAGTCAGGAGGGAAATTCGGAGACAAAGGCAAAGGTACTGAGAATAATTTAGATACCATGAGAGTTTTTCCTGAAACTCACTGGATGCTAAAGAAATTGTCCTTAGTGATGAAGCTTCTGATTTTTGTTCTTAACTAAATAAAATCATGTGCCCTGTGCATACTCCTGAACCTCTGCTGAGTGAGGACAGCGGAGTATAATGTCCTCATGGCCTGTCTAGCCTGTTCCCTGTCCTGTATGCCCTGCCAGGCTCTGCAATTGAGAGCTTTCTTGATCCTTTGCCCTGTGTGTCAGTGCTACCAGCCTGGCCAGGATTAAGAGACGGGATGACATGCAGAAACGGAGCGTTCTCTCGGTGGTAGCTGCTGCAGGAACAGCCCGTGGGCTTCCCCTACCTGCCACGGGATTGGTTTTGCCTGTTTCCTGCCAGCTGTAACCCCCAGGCTCTGCAAGGGACCGGTCCACATAAGGGCTGAGATCAATGCCCACCATAAACTATTTGTCTTCCTGGGATCACAGAATTCCATCTCAAGGGACAATGTAAGCTTATGGTTTCCCATTACCATATGCCGTGATCTAGAGAGGCCCATCCATCCATCCGGCTATTGCAGATCATGGCACGAGGCAGCAGTGAGGGCCCTCCATTCCGGGCAGGCTCAGGCACTGCTGTGGCTGCTGCCGCTGTGGCATCTGCATTTCCTGGCTGTGTGTTTCTGAGTCTGTTGTGCTCACGCTCAGCTCTTATTCCATCCCTGTCTCTGGCTTTGCAGACAACCCCCATGTAAGATGGGGTGACAAGTGACAAGCTCTTGGCGCAACAAGGCAACCACTGTGGTCTATCCCCGGGGCCAGGAGCTCTGAAACGTGCTGGTGTTAGTTGCTGAAAATAGCAAGATATTTAAGAACACCAGTCTTCATGGGAAATAAACATGCTAGCCTTCCTAGTACTTGATTGACAGGCATTGTTATTACTGCTTGCTCCGTGTTGATCTTCAAAGCCTGGAGAACAGCGCAAGGCTCGCTTCAAGGTTCACCTGTGTTTTCCCTGTGGACTCTGTTTCTGTTTTCTAATTTAGTGAGTTGCAACCCAGTTACTTTATTCTTCCACTGCCGTAAACTTTCTAGTCAAGGCTTCTTAATACATTGGTTTGTCTGTGACGCTGGACTGAAGCAGGAAAGCGCACGAACGAAAGGAAGCAAAGTGTACGTAACTGCTCAGAGCGAGGCAGTGGACGCTGCACCTGTCCTTGCCCAGGGCCAACTCCCTTCGTAGCCGCTGCCCTCCGAGGGACTCCTCTCAGAAGGCTATTGAATGAAAATGGTGTGCCATAAAAATGCCAGGGAAGGGGCTGGGGATGGGATTTAATACGGGGTATCCCAAGCATTAGACCTCGGTGCTCAGCCACCGTAGACCGAGGGCTCGGTGATGGATACGGCTGGGAAGATGGGCTCATTTCAGGTTAGGTGACCTTGTCTGGCTTATTTATGATTATTATTAAGAGAGATGCTGGCTGTCAGATGCGATCAACATAAATCACAAACAACTTCTTTAAGAGAAGCCATAAGACCCCTCAAAGGGTGCTTCTAACTAGAAGGCCAGTCCTCATTCACTGGCGATGTCTGGGATTTAGAATTGCAAAGAAGGCAGTTATCTTTTATCTGGGATCGCCTTTGCATCCAGAGAACTGCGGTGATTTAGTTGTTTTCTTACTGGAAAAGAATTAGAATTGTGTTGCTGGGAAATAGCCACGAGCCCTCTGAATCCCGTGTGATGTCTATGTAGCAGAGAGTTGATCCAGCATTGCTGCGTGTCACCACCATTCAAGCCCTTCCTAGAGACCCACGCTAGTGAACAGCACAGGAGGTTGGGCTTACAGCATGGCGTATGGGAAAGATTAAACTTGGGGCCATGAGCTATGTGACTTTTATTTTGCCTTTCTGGGCCTCAATTTTCTTATGTACAAGAAAAATGGTGGGTTTGATAAATAATGCTGGACATATTATTATTATAAAACTAAAAACAATAGTCTGACGTTCTTTCCATAGAAAAACCGTATGTTAGTGAACTTCATTTTTAGTTACTGCATTAGACAGTTTTTTGTTACTATAATGTCTGAGATGATCTTCTTAAAAAGGAGAGAGGCTATTTCATGTTCTGGGTTCAGTCATGATCTGTTGACCTTCTTGGTTTTGGGGCCAGTGCTGAGGCAGCACATCCAAGGAGTAGAGAGTGATGCAATGGTGTTTGGGAGTGAAAAGGTAGAAAGAAGCTGCATTCCCACAATTCCATTCAAAGTCATGTCCCCAGCTACTCAAGACCTCCTACTCTGCCCCACCTTCCAAATGTTCTACCTCTTCCTAACAGTGTCACTCTGTAGACCACAGCTGTAAAACACTGACCTCTGGGACACCCAGGAACTGCCCCGCAGCAGTTGCTGGACATTGATCAGGCATCCTCTACACTCCCAGACAGAGCTGGTGATGTGGGAAGATGGGCAGCCTCGTGGGGTGTAAGACAACGCTGAGAGGTGTGAAATATTCAGAGAGAGGAGTAATAGCATGAAAGGGAGCAGCGAACAGAGACATACTGCCATGTGCTGGGCACATCCTGCCGACCAGCAGCGCAGGAAGCTTTCTGCCATAGGCAAGAAGATCCTGCAAATCAAAGCAAGCGAAGACAGCTGTGGAGGAAGGGCCTGTCCTTAGACAGACAGTCAGAGAGGATGGCTTTGGAAGCCGAGAAAATAAATCATGGGAGCCCAGTTTTGGAGTGGCAAGTGTATGGCCCACTTACTGCAACATAGTGGGGTGCATTCAAGGGGCACATTCTCAGTGAGCATAGTGAGAGCCTGGAAAAGGTACAGCCAGGTGGCATTACCCCTTGAGCACGTGGGAACTGTAATAAGAGCACACAGATGCATTCTGTAGAGCTCCGTAGAACTTTACTAAAAGCACACGATAGAGCATAGTCAGCAACGGAAAGTCATTATAAACTCTCAAGAGGAACTTGTGTGAGTAGATTTTCATTGATTCTTCACGGTTCCTAGCTAGCCCTCTGCGGTAGGCAACACACCACCATGTAGCCTCAAGCTCTGAATTAGAGTGAAGATAACCTGGCCCATTGGGAACAATGTTTGCCCAGCCAGTTATGCACTTCTTAAACCAAACCTGACCCATTCATGATGCAAACTTAGGAAGAGAGTTATCAACCCAAGTGTTGTGTTTACGCACTGAATGTGTCTTGATGAAGGGGCAGTATGCTTTAAGATATCTACTTAGCTGGCGGTTTCTACTTCTTGTGGTTTTCTGTTGTTGACACTTACCCCAGATCCCACCAGCAACCTGGCAATTTTTCTTTGTTTTGTTTTGTTTCAAGACAGGGTTTCTCTATAGCTTTGGAACCTGTCATGGAACTAGCTCTGTAGACCAGGCTGGCCTTGAACTCACAGAGATCCGCCTGCCTCTGCCTCCCGAGTGCTAGGATTAGAGGCTTGCGCCACCACCACCCAGCTATTTATTAGCAATTTATAATCTGTGTTTTGAGATATGTCAAAGGTACTTTCCCTAGTGACCTAAGTTTCTGCCACTAGGCCCAACCTCTTCAAAGTGGTCTGTCACCTCCTGGAAATGGTTCTGTCACACCACAAGCCAGCATTCAATTAATGACTATTAATACATGCCCTTCATGTATGTGTGTGAAGGAATTCTGGGTCTAAGGAGGCAGCTGGCATAATAAAGTGCTCGCCACATAGGTATGAGGATCTGCATTCAGTCTTCAGAACCTAAATTAAGGGGGAAAAAAGGAAGGGCGGGAGTGTGGACGGAATGGAGGAGAGGGAGAGGAGAGAAAATAAAGAAAAGGTCAGATGTGTGTAATCTCAGTCCTGGGGTCACAGAGACAAGTGGATCGCTGGGGCTTGCTGGCTGGCCAGCCTAGTCTGCTCAGCAAGCTCCATGTCAATGTCTCAAAAACCAAGGTGGATGATGACTGAAGAGTGACCTCTGGCCACCGCACACCTGTCCACATGCGTGTGAGCACCTGTGCCCACACATAAACCTTCACACACAAAGAGAAGACTGAGGAAGAGCGTCCGCCATCTTTGTACCTGTCTCATCTCATGCGGGGATCTAATGAGATGCCATGCATACATCAGCCAAGATTAGGCTTGTCCACATGGAGAAGCTCCATGTGTGATGCCAGAGCTCTGTTCCGTTGTGTGTGAAGTCAGAGGTCCCCCCATCACCTCCCCCATGTAGAGAAGGACGACTGAGAGTGGGGTGCAGCTTGCAGCCTTCTTCACAGAGTAGAAGGCTTCTTGGGTAGTTTATGACATCATCACTTATAGTAGGTCTCCGGATACAGTACCAAACACTAGGACATTGTTCCCGTAGCCGGGACACCTATAACTTCATCAGAACACCCAGCCCTGCCAGGGTTGTGCCAGTCTGGCTCATGTCCTTCCCTGCATACCCTGGGGGATGCTGGGAGTGCCTGGTAGGAGGTGGCCCTGAAGGTCAAACAAGGATTTTGTTCACCTGGGGATGAAGCAAACGATGGGTTAAGAGGCCAAATGGGTAGTGGGAGGCTGGAGGACTTCACACATGGCTCCTAAGCTGATGACGGATGTTGTCTGTTCTGACTGTGGCTAATGAGGGATGTTAATCATGACCCTATGCTTTCCCTTCTGGTCAAGTTCACCGGCATCTCCTCTTCTTGCCTTAGGTTCTCAGAGGCGGAGGCTCATTCCGGCGTTGTCCCTTGACACCCCATCACCTGTGAGGAAAACTGCCAGCAGCACAGGGGTCCGCTGGGTGGACGGCCCCCTGAGGAGCACCCAGAGGGGGCTTGGGGAACCTTTTGAGATTAAAGTCTATGAAATTGATGATGTGGAGAGACTTCAGCGACGAAGAGGGGGAGCTAGCAAGGTGAGGCCACTTCCTTCCCAAGGGTCCCAGTTCCTGGCAGGTCCTGCCCTAAGAACTTCAGGGGAGCCTTCTCGGGTTCAATGTGGGCAGTGGGTGGCGGCAGGGGATTGTGGGATAGGTGCTATATGCTCCTTCTCTGGAACACCTTAAGTGTTAGTGAGCTGCAGCCTGATGGGCTCAGGGACTTCTCTGGTTTCTTGTTTTGAGGTTTTACACCCTAGTGAACACCAACATTGTGAGGGGCCATGTACCTTCTAGGTGAGAATAGCCTTCGGTAGTCTCCCGGGAGTTGAGTGTCTTGTCTGTCCACAAGGCTCCCTGCCATGCTTCTGGGAAGCTGGGCTTTTGTCATTGGTCCTCTCCCAATCCTCCCTTCTGGAGGAGGCTGCAGGACAGAGTCAGAGCAGAGGGATGGCCTTCTGCTTCTCTCCCTCTCCAACCCTCCCCCCCCCCCCCACTTCCTCTGTGGGCAGGAGGTCATGTGCTTCAACGCCAAGCTGAAAATCCTGGAGCATCGGCAGCAGAGAATCGCTGAGGTCCGAGCCAAGTACGAGTGGCTGATGAAGGAGCTGGAAGCAACCAAACAGTACCTGATGCTGGACCCCAACAAGTGGCTTCGTGAATGTAAGTCTGAGGGACTGGCCCTGGGGTTATCTCCGTTAAGCCAAAAGCCCAGGTGATCTTAACCACCTGGTCACTCTCCACAATGCTACTGTTCCTGTTGAGGGATAGATTGGATTAGCTCTAATTTATTTGTTCCTCGTCATTCCATTTACTGCAAAAGAAGGCTTAACTTTGCCCTGACTAGTACATTGTTTCGGGACCAATCCTGGAAGACTTGTCCGTGGGTAAAATATGTCAGCATCATTACAAACACTCTCTCCCCCACTTTCCTGCTCAGCTCTTCCCGCCAACCCTCAGCTACCCGCATCCCTTTTGGAACACTCTTCTCCTAAGGTCACCCCCTCCTGGTACTCCCTCACAGGCAACTCACTGGTAGAGCCCAGCAGCTTAGCATTGGTTCTCAAAGAGCTGGTTTAAAAACAGAGTGGAAACGAGGCCGGTACAGAAGGGCCAGGATCTACCAGTTCCTGATTGTACCCACTGAGAGCAATAACCCACAGTCACACTGCCTCTTTCTGGGTAGCCTATAGGACAGAGAGTCCTCCTATGTTTCATTGCATCTGTGGCTCTGCTCAAGGTCCCGTAGACCTGATTTGGATACTGGTTGTTTTTTTGTTTTTTGTTTTTGTTTTTGTTTTGTTTTTTGCTATATGCTGACTGTGTGACTTTGGGGAATGTTTGACTCTCTGGGTCTTGGTTTCCTTAGTGTAAAAAAGAAGAGTGGCTAAGCCTGTCTCATAGGGTGATTCTAAGCCAGAATGAGTGCTTAGGCTGCACGGCCTAGAGAGGGTGTTTAGCATCTGGTGGGAAGAGCTGCAGTACCTCAGAGTTCAGTCAGCTGGCGGCTCCTGGAGGTAGATGATTCAATGCCTGCTCCCATGGTACATGGTTAATTCCTTGTTGGGGGATTTGGACGAAGACACAACCTCTCCCAACAACAGTGTCTTCATCCAGCAAAGGAACAAGGACATGAGCTAAAATGTGACTGAGACATTAACACACACCCTATGCCTCTTTCTCCTTCTCTGCTCTCACTAGCTTCTCCCATAGGTCCCTGGGTCCTTTCTAACCACAGGGGCTTCCCTTAGGCAGAATCCTCATTTTCAACAGCTTCTTAGAATTTTGTTTTTCAAAAGCAGCTTATGCCCAAGGCAGGCTTGAAAATGATCTTCATTTTCCAAACTTCCTCTTTTTTTCTGGGATGTGAATGAGTTTGCCTATCAGTACACATGGGCCTCAGATGGCTGGAGGGGGCGATTGCTCTCTTCCTGCCTTGGTCCATGTCAAGAGTCAGTAATTTTTTTTTTTTTTTTGATGCTGAGAAAAACAATGGATAGAACGTTACATGAAAGAGGGAAATACAGATTTTTAAAAAAAAAAAAAACTTAAAACAGGAATTGGAAAAAAAAATCAAGGAGGCTGCGTGCTGACTTTCTCAGATGGGCTGCAGGCCGTGCTAGAACGGCCATGTGCGGGGATCCACCTCCAGTTTTAGTTTGTCCTCCCGCTGCCTCTTTCCAGGGCCTGTGATATCGCCTGATGTGCTTACGGAGGGTGAGGCTCTGATTTCAGTAGCCTGGGCTGAGATGCAGGGCCTTGGGTCTGTTTCTAGCTTCAGTCCGCACTGGCAATATAAGCGTGAACAGGGACCCTTTCTGACTAGATGGAGGCTGCTCCTGTCGAGAGAACCCCACTCCACCACAGACTTGGCGTGTCTGTAGCAGGCTTGCATGTCATCTCTTCTGCAGTGCCATTCTCGTCAGAAACTCAAGGAGGAGAGGGCAGGAATCCTGTCACTTGCGCCACTTGCGTTGCTGTTTAAGAAATGATGCCAGCTGAGGTGATGTGGCCCAGCTAGGACTCCAATGTGAAGCCCCTACCAGGCCACCCACACTGTTATCCATGCTTCACTCCCGTGTGGACCTTTGGCAGTACCCCTAGAACAGGGACCAGGCCGTCTACCACTCCGCCAAGTCATAATGGGGCAAAGGGACCCCAGACCTCTGCCCCAAGACAAAGACCTTGGGTGCAAGGCATCATGGTTATATGACTCAACTTGCCTTTTTGAGCTCAAGGGAATTTTAATTATTAATACACATGTTTTAAACATCATATCCCCCCTCCCCAGTGACCAGTGAGTAAGATCGTACAGGAATGGGAGCCTGCTCTCTCCAGGGAGGTGGGGTGTGCATGTCACTCAGGTAACGCCACTCCTGAAAGGCGGACTCTTGCTGCCCGAGCACCCTAGAGTTGCTTGCCTTGGTTAACAGATCAGTAGAGTGGGGACCTCACAAATCTGTGCTGGAGGCAGCTGGGGCAAACATGGGAAGGTTCTAGACCACCTCCCTGTTCCTCAGAACCATCTCTGAATATCAGGAGCTAGAAACCACAATGGGTGTGTGTGTGTCATTCCTCCTCAGGCGACTTTAGCCCAGGGGAGGAGGGGGAGGTAGCCCTTCCTACGAGTAGCTGTCCCATCTCCAGGAGCTCCTTTCTCTTTCAGTTGACTTGGAGCAGGTCCTGCAGCTGGATTCCCTGGAGTACCTGGAGGCCCTGGAGGGCGTGACAGAGCGCCTGGAGAGCCGTGTCAACTTCTGCAAGGCCCATCTCATGATGATCACCTGCTTTGACATCACCTCCAGGCGCCGATAAGGACCAGCGGGCTCCAAGCCGTCAGGCCCTCGCTTCCTAGGACTTCAGCAGGACACCACCCTCCCAGGCCCTCTGTGCTGGCAACGCTCAAGACACTAGGATGCGGATGAAGGTTGGTGGCAAGTCTGGAGTGAGCGAGGAGCGAAAGGCGATGTTTCCTTTGTTTTCTGTAGGGAAGAAAGGTAAAGACACCAACATGTGGAAGGAGGAAGTGATGGGAAAACCCGTGGGACTGAGAAAGCACTTTGAGGAACCTTGAAGAACTCTGTACATAAGGACTGCTAGCCAAGAGATTCTTACCTTGCAGTCACGAGGAAGGGGAGGGTGATGCGGGATTGCCATTGAAAGCAGAACACCAACAAGACGACCCAGAATGATGGATTAAGTGCCTTGCAAATCTTTATGATTATCCAAACATTTGTGTTTGTTCTTTCTTGTGTCCAGATGGTGCTAGTCAAGAAGAAATCAACAAAACCCGAAAACTCAACCCAGTTTTTGAAATGCATTTGCAGCTTGTTTTCTCTTGGTTCTGACTTGCTGTTTGTTCCCAAGAAGTTGTGTTTGTTGTGCTATTTCCTAATCAGTATTGCAGCTGAATAAATGTTAACTGTCTTTCATGGTTGTTCCAGTAAGGCCACTCAGAACATGGAGATTCCATTGGCATGAGCCAGTGTGTTTCCCAGGGAGGTTTAGGAGGGCAGGGGACAGAAGACGCCACCTTCTGTGAACAGCAGGTCAGTCAACAGCTCCAGGGTCAGGCATGGAATGGGTGCGCATGAGCATTAGTGATGAGGAGGGATGTCTTTAAGGGGAAGGGTTCAGGGTGACCTGTTCTTCTTTGTTTCATGTATCTGTGGCCCTCAAAACAAGTTCATGCTCCTTTCTAGCCCAAAGCCTATGAATGGAAAGGTTGGACAACTTGAGCAGAACCCTTTTTCTTTGTCTTCATGCAATATGGTGTTATTACACAAGGTGGAGGGTGTCTGTGTTGAGACTCTTGGGCTTACATGGGTTCAGGGACTTGACATCCATTTAGAAAAAGGAAGCTTGGGGTTGGGGTTGCATAGCTTTTTGTCACCCAGGATCCTGTCCACTAGCAAGAGGTCAGCTCTCACCTATCCTAAAGCCTCTGTAGCTTGTTCCTGTGGCCTTGGTGTCCTGAGACACTGAGAGGAATCACATCTCTAAATTCTAGGACCCCAGATGTGCAGGTCAGAGCTGAATGAATGGGGAGACCTAGGTCTTGCTCCCCACTAAAACTGAAGACTTCATTCTCAGATTACTCCCCTGCCTTCAGGGTTGTTGGACCATGTTAGGAACATAGGTCTGAGGCATGGAACGGCCAGGCATTGGCTGACCATAGGCTGCTGGAAAAACTGAGCATCCCAGGAGAACCAAGAATTTTCTCTCCAGGAGCCTACACAGTCTGCCTGTGTATATACATGCTCAGGGGTTTTGGAAAGAGGACTTTGCATCCACGCCCTCTCACTAACCAACTCCTTGAATGCAGGTGCTCCCCAAAGAGAAAGAACTTTGTATTTCTGGACCAGCCCTTTCTCTGGACACATGTATCCCAGCGCAGCGTGGTATGTGGCCAACAGAACACACCACATAGAAGCTGCGGTCACGTGAGTGCCATGGCACCTGATCCTTTACCCAGAACATGGTTCAGATGAGACCACCAGCTTGACTGTTCTAGAGGTCAGCCTTGTGAATCGAAAGCCAGCCCCATGGGTCACACATTCCTTAAGAGCTGACTCTTATGAAGAGAGGTCCCAAGCTGCTGGCTGAATGGTCTGAGCTCTGGAATAGCACATTTCCCCCTCTGTCTCCTGGGGAAGCAGGGCCTCCCCAGATCTTCCACAGCTCCTCCCCAGTGCCATTCTCCAGGAGTCCTGGGCTCAGGGCCGAGCTCAGCCTCCTAACACGTGTGCACGGCCTGCTTAACAGCAATGTTCTTGGAAGCTTCTGGACTCATAGGGATGCCAATACTATGAACATCTGTTTTGATTGCTGGCTTCAAATATACTTCTGTGTTTTGTTTTTCATGAAAGGCCTTGGTTTGGGAAAGATTTTAAAAGAGAGCATGTCTGGATGTCTTTTCCCTTCTCCAGAGCAGGTTCGTTTGATTAGTATCTATGAGCTTGGCTTTAGTCCCTGCTGCCTTTTCCCTCAACCCTGAGGTCACTGGGCCTCGGGGACTCCTTTCGCTGGCCACCAACAGAGCCCAGTGCCTTTGCTGGAGTGAGACCAGGCTGACTCATCCGCAGAGAGCAGACTCTCAGTCAGCAGGTTCTCTTGGGGGAGAGGCCCTCAGCTGCCTCCCATGAAGACCTGTTTGCATACATTCCAAGCAACTTCGTGCCACAGCACTGGTGGCTTGGCGGTGTCCCTAGGGTTCTTTCACCGAGCCAGGTATGCCTTCTAGGAGGCCACATCCACATGGCAGGGCATCCCCCAGGACCTACCAGGGTGTGGTGCAGGGAGATATTGGGTGAAATAGTGTGTAGCTCTTGTTCGTTCTCATATCCTGTCCCCCTCCAAAGTAAACTGTGAACATCTCGATCTACCGCATGGCATTGCATTATCTTAACTGATAACTTGTGGAGAATCCCTGCCTCCCATGATGCACCTGCTTCTGGCCCTGCCTATGAGCTGCCTGTGGGAACGCAAATCTTTAGGCACAAAGAAGTAGGCCTACCATCTCAGCCAGTGCCGCTGGGAGGCCAAAGGGAGGGCACAAGAGGGCAAAGGGGACGTCAAGAAACTCACTTCTATTTCATCATCTGTCCATAGAAGGGCAGGAATTGTTTCTTTAAAATGAATATTTAGGCACATAGGCCTTACTTAAATTCTGTCCATCACCAACCCCCCCCCCCCCCCCAACTTTAGCCCTGCTTCAACGAATTTAATGTGAGGTAGAAGCGTTTGCAGCCAGGTAAAACTGGAAGAAAAAAATAAAACAAAATATTTGAGTAAAAATCTGAAACAGGGGCATCATTCTCCCAGGACCGGCAACCACCCTTAGTTCATCTCATCTGGGGGTGGGGAGGGGTGCTGCTGCTCCCAGGGAGCCTGCATTGCTGCTTTGTCTTGGCTTTCAAGGCCCCCCTCAGAGCTGGAGGCTTTGATCTCCTCGAACCCTCCTGAACACCCCCAGGAAGCCGTCTCTCACTTTCATCTCAGCAGAGTTGAATCTGGCAAGTATGATTTCAACTCCAATTGCTGTTCTGAACACTGGGAGAAATGCAGAGGTGGGGCCCCTAGTGCTGCAGCAATGACCCCCAGCCATGACCTCCAAGCAGGAGAAGGGCTCCTGAGCTAGAGCCTGGAGTAAAGACCACCATACACAGTCCCAGGAAAAAGGCAGGGGGTGGGCAGCGGAAATGTTCAACAGGCAGGAACCAGGTCCCATTTGTCAGGACTCAGCCTAAAGCTTGGGGCCTTGTGTCCAGGAAGGAGCACTCAGACTGTAGGGAGCCGCTTCAAAAGGACCTACACACTCAGGGCGTGCTTGATTTCCATTCTAGCCAGAAAAGCATCTGGGCATGGACCCCAGGTCTAGGGCACAGCCACCTTCTCTGGCCTTCAGATTCTCATTAATTTGAGCTCATTCACAGCACCTCCCTGGTAGATTTGTATTTTGAAGCTGCTGTCTGACCTTGACTTCCCCATAGAAAAGGTGAGGTTGGCAAGAGCCCACAATTTGCCCAGTACAAACATGGCCTTTGCTGATCTGTAATTGAGCCCTGAGCCCGAAGTGACTGCTTTTTGGGGTTCCTTATTCCATCAAGAATTCTGGTCTGTAAAAGAAATTACTCAAAACGAGTTCCTTCCAGAATTGAAAACAGATTTCCCAAATGTTGTTCTTTCCTTGGACATAATGCAAAAACATTTCCTTCCTTTTAGGGGAGTTTATCTTTGAACCCCAAAGCCGGGGCCCATTAGGAACAGGTTGAAAACCCTGTGTTCTAGGAGTTGAAGCTGACAAAGCCGTCCACTGCCATTGCCCCTGGAACATCCCTGCCACCGCCTACCAGCTTGGCCCAGCTTTCCACATTGAAAGAGGTGTCCTCAGTGCTAACACACGTGGGACAGCCCCACAGTGGGAGAGGTCGGCCCAGCTCGCTGGTCTCCATGCCAAGCTAAACTGTGGAAGGAAAGTTTCACAGACATGATTGGTAAATGGGTCTGCTTTTTTTTTTTTTTGAAGTGACAGAAACACAGCATTCTTTTACATCCCACAGAATACCTCTCTCGTCTTCTGAACAATATCTGTAACCACTTTATGGCATTACAAAGCTGTTCGTAAAACAATGTATAAACTGTATCCTTTAGCCATCTTCCTGGTGTGTCAGACAGAACATATTTCGAAATGACAAGTTCTGCGTCATTTCCATAAGAATAAAAGCAGAATTCTAACCCAGGAAACTCTCTTAAATCCTATATATCCTCTCAAAAAAAAAAAAAAGCTTTTTTGAAAATTCCTATGAGTTATTTACCCATCCCTAAACAAACATATTCTACTCGGGGTGGGGATGGGGGAACGTATGCAAGACCTGAACTGACGTCACAGTGTTGGACACAGTGTGGCACTGTGGGTAGGGCTCAGGCCTAACATTCTCCACATACAGCAATTTCCGGTGTCACAGTTGTGGGAGCAAGCGTTCCAATCCCAGAGTCACGCATTCGTTTTAGGTTCATTAGAGTGGCCTTCCCCAGAGAAGTCATCCTGTCTCTGCTCTCCACACTGCCAGCCTCCTGCATTGCCAGGCTTGGTTTGCAGCTCCACCATCCTTGGTTTTCTCCTCAGAATTGTCCGTAGCACCGCCCGTGTTTCTGGATCTATGTATGTACCCCGGTCAAGAACGCCCTCCATGTTCTGAGTTGGAGCATGTGCTTGCTCAGTCTGTGTTTGTCTTCTTCTGTTTTCTTTACTCCAGCAAAATCTATTAGCAGAGACATGGGCCAGGGAAGGGCCAGGGGTGGGACGTCCTCCTCCAAGTGCAGAGCTTTGCTTGGCTGTCTCTCTAGTAGGCAGCCAAAGAGATTGAGACCAAGTTCTTCCTTTCAAGCTGGCGTGGTGACGAAGTTGGAAAGCAGGTTCCCTGGGCCTCAATAGCAGAGGATCCAGCAGCCTCCTCCAACTGGGTCCCCACACAGCTCCTGAGGAAAGTGCTGACAGTATTGTTTTACTCATCCCCGAAATCCCCAAGAGGTCCTCTCTTTGGATAGATGTTGTAACGATCTATTTGTTAAAGAAACCAAAGCACTTTAGTGAGTCTTACAACCCATAAAACGTATGGCATGTGTCCCCTCGCTGGATCTCTGAAAGGCAGAGGGGGGCTTGGGCCAGTAGTCTCATTTGAGAGGCAGTTAGAACTGGGAGGAAAAGCATGGAGCTAGGAGGCGGGGAGCCAGGGCTACAGCTGGTGCCATCACTAGCCATAAACCTTGGGTAGGCTGCTGCATTCTTCTGGGCCTCAGGTCCCCCTGTATTAGGCAGTGTGTGGGGGAGCCATAAAAGCTGCCCTCCTGGGATAGTTGGGAAGGGAAGGGATGGTGTAGCTGGTGGCACATGGTTTGGAAGCTCTCCCCGGCGTGGGGAAGGACATATATAGATGAAGAAAATGACATCCACAGTCACTAACTGGCCCGGGTCACAGAAGAGACTCACAGCAGACCTGGGACATGAACCCAGATGCCTGGACTCTCTCTGTTAGACCATCTGACACCCAGAGGGTGCACATGAACACACACTGCTCCTCTGTGCCAGTACGTGTACATATGGGTGTGTCTGTGCAGAACACACGTAACGCAGATGAGGGGCCTCAGACAAAAGCCCCGAGTCTAATTCCGTTGTCAACAGTAGACTTACCTATGGCCTGGGACACACAAGCAACGCTTCCGGAACTCGGATTTTCTAAGTTGTAAAATGAGGACATTGTGGTACAGGATCTTTGCCGTTCTTCCAGCTCTGGCTATGAGAGTCCACATGAGTGATGTATGTATGTATATAGCGATATGCTTATCTGTAGAAATGGGCCCATTGGGGAATTGGAGACAAGGCCTGCTCAAGTGCATTCATTGTATCAGAATTGGCAACTTCACAAGTCCATACGCCTTCATTTTAAGTCAGATGTTTCAAAGTCACTGTTTTAACTGGGTAGAGGATTGGTGCTGTTTTAAAAATTAAGTTCTTAGCTCTCGAGTGTTTGCTGTTAATTTTTCAAACACGGTCATTTGTTCAATAGTCGAAATTTTAACTCTTCTGCCTTGGGCAGGTCCCCAGCAGTCTGTATGCAGGCTGGGTTTTGTGTGTGGGCTTTTACATAACTATATAAAAGTTAGCTGTTGGCTTGCTTATGGTAAATATGAACAGACTGTCTGGAGAACAGTACAGAAAAGAATTGAATTCTATAGTCTCATCAGCTGGTGACACGAAACCGTGAAGCTCTGTGCGATTTCCTGGTGTGAAGATGTTGTTTGCTGGCTACGGTCTCTGACTTTGTGGCTCATGAGGTATAAAATGTTGTAAAAAAAAAAAAAATCTGGTGTTTAAAAAAATCAAACTATGGTGGCATTAAATGTTCACTTTTATTCTCCCCAGAGTCACGCCTCCTTCTTTATCCAGCAGGTTCTTTTGTGCACAAGGGTATTCCATTCAAGGACCAAGGTGGGTCACCATGGTAAAGCTACACCTTAGCCCGCTTGGGGTGGGGCCCCACAGGTTTCTGGGATTCCCCTGTCTAGTTCCACTGGGCGCTGTCCTCGAAATAATCAGAGACTCAGGCAGGAATGGATGGAGGTGAGGGCTAAGCCACCGAAGCCCAGGAATGGTCCTCTGGGCCAGAGTCAACTGGCATGGTATAGAGTCCACCTCAGTTCAGCGTTTCTGTTGTTACACAGAACCAGGGTGTGCGCAGTGATGGGGACGACTTAAGCCGAGACACAGGCTTCCTCGTTACCCTGGAATTTGTGTCAACTATGTCTAAGCACATTCCAGGAGGAGAAAAAGGATCAGGACTGTACAGATATCTCCTAGAGCAGCCCCTGCCCCCCAGGGCAGGCATCCGCACAGATAGCAATGGGTACCTCCAGTCATCGGGTATGCCAGTGCTTAGGGGACAGGCAGGGTGGCCACCAAGACAAACACATGCTCCAGCTCCTGCCCAAGACACCTGCTCTGACAACCTTGCCTGGAGTGTGGGTCCCTAAGACCCCTCATTTTTCTTCTCCTCAGATTCTAAACAAGACCTTCCTGGGTCCCCAAAGGTCACCAAAGAAACCACAAATAAAAACCAAATCAGGGGTCTTAGTGGTAGTGACACCTTCTCCGGATGCTCGAGGATTGCTGTGTACAGCTCACTCCCTCGGGAGAACAGGGAACTCTTGGTATGGACGGGCTTGCTTCCGGTCATCCCACTCCTCCATGAAGACCCCCATTCCTCTGTTCTCCAGGGGTCAGACATGACCTGTCAGCTCAGCCTGTCCTCAGTTCACACAGGCCCACTGATGAGCACTGGCCAGGACAACAAGTGTCATGAGAAACAGTTTTTTCAACCGGGCGGTGGTGGCGCATGCCTTTAATCTCAGCACTCGGGAGGCAGAGGCAGGCAAATCTCTGTGAGTTCGAGACCAGCCTGGTCTACAAGAGCTAGTTCCAGGACTGGCTCCAAAACCACAGAGAAACCCTGTCTCGAAAAACAAAAACAACAACAACAAAAAAAAACAGTAACGAGAAACACCTTTTTCGTTTGCACAGTCACAGTCTCTAGATTGCTATCCGTGTGTGTGTGTGTGTGTGTGTGTGTGTGTGTGTGTGTGTGTGTGTCTGTATGGGGCACACATGTGTGTGACCTAAGTGTGGGGGCAGAGGTCAACCTCAGATGCTGTTCTCTGGGCACGGTCCACCACATTTTTAGAGGCAGGATTTCTCACTGGCCTGGATCCTCCTTTCCCCGCCTCCTCAGTGCCGGCATGGCAACTACACAGCATCACACCTGGCTTGAACTGCCCTGCTCCTTCTTCTATGGTGGGACCCAGGAGTTCGGTTTGCTTTTTAGGTTTTCACTTTTTGTTTGGTTTGATTTGAGACCAAGTCCCACTCTGTAGCCCAGACTGGTCTGGAACTTACTAGGTTGTGTATGCTGGGTTTGAAGTCACAGCACCCTGCCTCTCTCAGCCTCCCAAGGGCTGGGATTACAGGTGTGCTTCCTAAGCACCTTTAGTCTTTGATTTTTTAAAGACTGGACAAGCTAGAGCTAAGAGATAAAAATCACCCTTTAGTTCACACCAGAGAGAAACACTGCTGCTGTTGCCATTAATTTGTGCTGTGTGTGTGTATGTGTGTGCGCGTGTGTCTGTCTGTGTGTGTGTGTGTGCACGCACACGCGTGCGTGTGCACCTGTTTCTCTCTTTGTGTCTGCCTCTTTCCAAATAACCTCAAATATGACCCTGTCAGGTCCATTTCCCCCTCAGTACCACCGTGTGCACTTCCTGGAACAGCATAGAGCATGCCCTAACGATAGAACTCTGGGCCAGCTGCAGAGCTTTTCATCTCGGGGGCCGGGTCCCATCCACGCACCCGGTTCCCAGCCACAGATTGTGAGCTTGTGTTCCCTTCCCACTGTCACAAACACTGAGTGTAAATCCCTTCTGTTACTCCTCTGACACATCCCTGGGCATAAATTGCTAGTTGTGAACTAGCCTTAACAAGAGGAATAAAACATTGTTGCAAGGCGTTTTACACACATCAAGCGGCCACGCTTTCATCTGTCCACTTGAACAATGAATAAAGATCTCCTGATGGCCCCAAGGAGAGTTGGCTTTTCCTCCTTCTACCTGTTTCCTGGATTCGCTTGCCCATTCATTTCACAAATGTACAAAAAGGAGTTTCCACATGGCTCAGCACTTCCCTTAGAAGATGAACCAGGTTCTTGGCCTGTGCTTCTACGCATCTTAACGAAGGGCATGCACATCCATCTCTGAACTTGGTGTCTGGGGGCAGGAGGTGCTTTCTGTGACTTAGCGCAGAGCCGCAGAGAAATTGAGTTAGGACACAGAGGGTTTAGGCAAAGGGGAAGGAAGGGGAATTTTATATACAAAAGAAACCTGTGTGTTCTGGGAATCAATCTCTCTCTCTCTCTCTCTCTCTTTCTCTCTCTCTCTCTCTCTCTCTCTCTCTCTCTCTCTCCCCCTTCCCCCCCCCCCCACCCCAGGGCTGAGGAGTCCTGAAGTCAGGTACTGGTTTGAGAACCATGGTTTGTAGTGGACTCTGAGGTTGCAGGGCATGTCTGGGTTCTCAGGTGTCAGAGCCAAGGCATGGTCTGTCCCGTCTGGTTTCCCCTGGGGATTTTTCAGTGGTTAGAGGTAGGCAGTGGGCGGGGCACGCTGTGATCTGGCCTTTCTTTGCTCAGCAGGCCTAAGACAACTGTGGTTTTTGTTCATTTTCTGACCTTTTGTCAGAATATGAGTTATTTATCAGCAAGAGAAACAATTTGGCTTAAGGTTCAGGAGCCTGGATGTCCAAAATCACAGTGCCAAGGTCTTACACAGTCATTATACAATGGAGTGGGGGAGGGCAGGGGAACAGGAGCAGGACCGGTACCCCGAGGAAGGACACCTGGGCCATCCTAATGGCATGGAAACTTTCCCTTAGGTCCCACCTCTTAAAGGTGTCCCAGGAGTGCCAGGTTGAGGACAAACCCATTACCACATAGACCTGGCAGGGGGCACTTAGTATCTAAACTTTAGCAGTAACAAAACTTGAAGGTTTTTCTGTAGGAACTTCTGGAGTGTAGTTAGGGTTAGGTTAAGGGTTAGGATTTGCGTTAGTGTTTAGGTTAGGGTTAGGTTAGGCTTAAGGTTAGGTTTTGTGTTAGGGTTAGGATTTGTGTTAGCAGTAGGTTAAGGCTCAGGGTTAGGGTTAGAGTTTTAGTTAGGAATAGGGTTAGAGTTTGGGTTGGGGTTTTGTTTAGGGTAGGTTTAGTGGTAGGGCTCATGTTGGGGATAATATTTGGTTTTGGGCTAAGTTTAGTGTTTGGTTGTGAGTCCCTGCTCAGAGACCTGCAGATTGAACCCACACGAACACTCCTGGATTCCAGCTTCTCTCCGCAGAGCTGTTCCTGCAGAACGTCTCGAGGTCAACGTCCCTCATTCACACTCACAAAGCATTGCTCATAGGAAGTTCTTAAAGGCTAGTCCCACCCACATTACAGAACTGTCTTCACATTACTTTCCCCAGGCTGGAAAGTTGCCTCATTGTCCGCTCAGGGTCCACCTGTTCCTTCAACCCAGCTCTTCCAAGTGGCTGAATGACAGAGTTACAAATCGCCCCCGCAACACCTTGACAAGTGAGGTGGTTCCCAGCCTTCTCTTTTCCACACCACTTTGAATAAACAGTTGGGGAATCTTTACTTCACACTCGTTGAGACACTGTGCCCCTTAGTCGCTGTACCAATGCATATCTGCCTGTCTATCAGGGGATGAAAGGACAACTCTACTATTAGTGAACAGGAGGGTTCCTGCCCTGTGGACTGGAGCCTACCTCGGGGTTCCTGAGATCACTTCTTGAGAGTTCCCAGGGAAGAAAAGAGAAGGAAGCTGTGCTCTGTCCCAGCTTGGGACCTCAGCTCTGGGTCTCCACCAAGCAAAGAATGTTGTGGCATTGAGTGGACAGGACTGTAAGTCCAGCTACATATTGCTGAGGTCTGGCTCAGTGTTGTCTAGAATGTTCCACCCATACACATGCAATTCCAAATCAACTCCAAGTGGGAGAAGCAAGAGGCAGGGGCGCTCCTGGTGTGAGTACCTTGCATGGCTGGCTAGGGAAAGACAGTCCTCCGGGGAGCTGCTTCGGAGAAGGGATGTTTTGACTCTAGCGGCAGCAGAGGGGTCCTGTCCAGGAGGCTCGGCCTGCCTTGATTCTTTACTTACACTCTCTGAAAAATTATGGATTTCCCACCATCAAAGTTTTCCACCACTCCTGGGTTCCCGTGCCATGAATTTCCCTTTCTGGCATCCTGAAACGCTAACTTCAGTAACACTCCTCATTCTCAATTGATTCCCCCTCCTTGGGCTAGAGAGAAGCCACACTCCCATCCTAACCACCTGCCCTTTGCCCACCTACCCACTCAGGTTTACAGGTTTGATGTGGAGAGAGCTGTATGAAAAGGAAATTTGTATGTCACAGCCACAATGGCTAGAGAAGCCACAGCTTCAGAAAACCACACATGCCAATCCTGACCCCAGACAGCTCAGGGTGCCCTGGGGAGAGGGAGGGACTTCCCTTTCCATGGTAGTGTGTTTGACGTCATCAGCGGTAGGATACCTCTCCATAGCCTCCAGGGACATCTCTTTCGGGGTTAGTGACTGCCCCCCCCCCCACCCGCCGTCATTTTATTTCTTTACTTTTTTGTGGTGCTGGAGATGTAGGCCTACACCTTGCCCATAATCAGCACCTTTTTGACCACCGCGTGGCATCTCAGCCTCTGTGCCATGGTCTGCCGCTGACTCCTGGGCCAGTCTATTACTGAGTGCAGGGCCATGGTCTCCCTGCTCTGTACATACACATTCTATTGGTTCTGCTTCT